GAAACCGAAACTGAGGAACAAACTGCCATCACGAATTCTCTCCGTGCGAGAGACATGGAGGGACTCTGTGCCGAAATCTTGAACATATCCAGCAGTGACGCGCGTGGCTGGCGGCTCCGCTGAAACATGCGGCTCTCGCTTTAGATCCGCGCAATCTGTTTTCTACAGTAAGCAGTTCGGGTTCAAACATTTGCAAATGTGGAAGACCGTTCCCCTTAACAACGGAGTTCTGTTCGAGACTTCCAGGCAAATCAAGACCGCAAGCTCGAACATGTGAGCTGTGTGACTTTACCTCTTGCGATGTATGACAATCACGATAATGGAGGGCGGTTCCACTTCTAAGCGGGACTCTCGCCTGAATGACGGGCACGTGTGGTTCTGTCTTCCGGGAGGGCGCTCCCCGCAGTGCAGGGACTTCTGAGGAGGGAATTCGGGGCTGGAGGTTGCGTGGCCGTATCGTGCACGTATTCTTTGCTCTTGCTCTGACCCTCTTCCTACTACTACACCTCCGGGGCGCGAATGGGGAGGGGGTGCGATACATGGGGGGAAGGACGGTGCCTTCTCGAGCCAAGGCCCCCTGGGCCCTAAAGGGTTGATTCATGGGCCCTAAGGAGCCCTTTCAAGTGCCCTGATGGCCCCTTTTCGGCAGCCCGCGCTGCCCGCCCAATAATCGCCCCCTCATTACGCGTCCTCCGATCCTCGCCTTTTTTCCTGTCCGGAGACCCTTATAACCATGAAGGGCCTATCAGAACACTTCAGGGCACCTGTCAAAATCTTCTCAGACACTCCTTGTCCTCTCTCCCACCTGTTCCCTTCTGGCCCTCCTTGGGACCCCCCCTGGGCTCCCCCATGGGCCTCAATGACTCAGTGGTTCACGACATGGCATGTCGCACAGGCGCAACAGACCACAAGTATGGACAAATAGAAAGAAACCCTTACCACGCGCTCAAACCAGCAGGATGTCGCATAGAGGCTGGGAGGGATACTGGTGCACTGATGCTGGAGTCAATGCCCCCAAGGCCTCGTCCTCCTCCTCCTACTCCTCCTCCTGCTCCTCGCCCTCCTCCTCCTCCATCTCCTGCTCCAGACCTCTCCTGGAGCACATTCTGCCAAGGATCCCGAGGTGGGCGAACCCAGCTGCGACGATGAGAGCCCCAAACCAAGCCACGCAAAATATTTCAAAGATCCGTCACCGTGTCTTCGGCACGCAGTGGAGTGCCCCACGGCTCACGCAACTATGGAGGGTAGAGGGGGTGCAAGGTTCTCAAGGGCCCAGACGGGATATCCTGGGAGCTCCCAGGCCGGAGCTCTTGGGAGCTTCTGGACACCCTCTAGAGTTAGATCGGGCATGCTCTCCTACAGGGGGATGCTGGAAGAAAACTAACAAATAGCTAAAATCATTCAAAAATAATCGAAAGAGCACGAACAAGCGTCCCCATAATATGTTTGGATTATTCTCGAATATTCCTTCTGTAGGGGGACATGCCCGACTTAACTCTAGAGCGTCTCGCGAACTGCCTCAGGTCGCCAAAGAGGGCCGCAGAGTAGTGCAAGACAGCCTCTCGACTGCCCACTGGGGCCCCAAGACTGCCCAAGGGGCCCACAAGATGCCTCAAGAGAGACCCAAAAGTCCCCCCCAAAGAGGGCCCCAAAAGGGCAAAAGTCGACCCGTCCCCTCGGTAAGACAAACATGTTCAGTGCATCTGCTTCGTAAGCATGCACAGCGACGAAATCGGCCCAGGAGGCACCCAAATCGCTCCAAGACAACCCAAAAGGCCCCTAACAGAGTCCCAAAACGGCGACAGAGAGCCTCAAGACAGCCCAAGAGGCACCCAAGATGGCCCAAGAGGGCCCCAAGATCGCCCCAATATGGTGAACTCGAACGGAGATTTCGAGCCCTCCGCTCCGAGGGCGCCAGCAGGCCACCAAGAAGCCTCCGAGAAAGCGCAAGAGGCCCAGGGGAATCTCCAAGAGGCCCCCAACACGCCCCCATGAGGCCCCAAGAGACTGCAGCATTGCCTCCAAGAGGCTCGCCAGAGGCAGCCCAAGAGATCCCAATAAGCATCCAAGAGGTCTCTGACCCATCACCTCGGGTTGTGGGTCTGTCTCGGCAGCGAGCCCGGGGGGGAAGCGAGAAGGAGAAGGCCTTCTCAGAAGGCTCGGACCCCCCCCTGGCCTTCTGAGAAATGTTCCAAGCCTTCTCTGAAGACACAGAAAACTTCTACAAGGCGCGAGGGCTTCTGAGAAGTCCCGTCGCCTTCTGAGAAGGCCTTCTCCTTCTCACTTCCCCTCCTCGCTCGCCGCTGAGTGTCAGCTTCTTTAGCAGCCCGCACCCTAGGTTTTCAACCACTCCTGGGAGTTCCTGGAAGCTCTCGGAAGCTCTTGGGAGCTCGTTGGGGCTACCCCAGAGCTCCCCTGGTGGGGCAGGAGGCTCCGCAGAACTCTCCTTGGATCCACTCCCAGGGCGCGTTCTGACTAGCACTCCGTGGCGAATTGAGCCATCCAGCGGCGAGCGAACGGGGAAAGTGAGAAGGAGAAGGCCTTCTCAGAAGGCGGCGGGACTTCGCAGAAGGCCCCTGGCCTTCCGAGAAGTCTTCGGGGAAGGCTTTGGACAACTTCTCAGAATGCCAGGGGACTTCCTGGCATTCTGAGAAGTCTCGCCCCCTCTCGCCTCCCCCCCTCGCTCGCCGCCGAGCCATAGCCTGGGCCATAGCGACCAAGACAAGGCGAGAAAGAGGGAAGGGCATCGGTGTCAGTACGGGAGCTCTCTGCTTTTGGAAGGGATCAGCAGCGCGCTGTTATTGGTGCCTCGGACGACTCGAGTGCGAGTGAAGAACGGAGTCACGCCACAGAGTCCACTCCACCCAAAAGAAGGGGGAACGACAACGCAGACGAAGAAAAAAGGACAGAAAATAGTGACAAGAAACACAAACAGCGAAACAGACAGACGGCATGATTTTTGTTGTTTTACAGGAGCGTGCGCGTTGTTGCAGATGCGTCTGGGGACTCCAGGGCTGTCCCCCCAAAAGAGATAGCCGACACATGCGACAAAAGAGGACAAGACGACCCGACTAGGCAAAGGGGACCAGAGAACGAGGGCACCTCGAAGTAAAACCACGACAATCCAAAACACCCTGCCTTTGAGAAGGCCACGCGCGCTGCTGTAGATCCGCAACCAAGCCCCAATGCTAGCGAAACAACGGAGGGACGACAAAACCTCGGACAAAAGGAAACAGGCGACATGGCAGAGGAAACAAAGGGAGGCAACAAGCGAAGCAAAGGGGACCAGAAACAGGGAGCAAGCAACGTCAACATTTGCCCCCTGCACATGGACTCGTTCGCCGTCCACGGCGCAACACGCGTGGCAGGAACGGGACGCGGCGCACGACGCGTTCGACACAGCGACATGTCGCTGTCGCCACAACTCTTGTTATATTATTATATGAATTCCGCTTCCGCTTTTGGCGCACCCATCCCTATCCCGTACACGTATCTACTCGCACTGTCCGCCCCCGTGCCTTGGCGCGTACTGGAACGCCCTGAGGCTCCTGCAGCCTTGACAGTCGAGCCCTGCGCCCCAAGAGGACCCCCGAGACTGCCAGCAGGCGCCCTCGATGCCCCGAAATGCCTGCCAGAAGCCCAAGAGAGGCTACCATTGGTAGCTTCTCTTGGGCTTTTGGCGTGATCGGGGGAAGGGCGGGGGGAGGGGAGTTCTTTCCCCCGATCACATCACGGCGGGAGGCCGCAAGAAATCCGACCAGATCCTCGAGGAATCCGTCGGAAGTCACTGCGAATTTAAGCAAAATAGCGGCACGTGACCTGGGAGCGGGGAGGGAGAGGGTCGATCACGGCCAGTATCGACCAGACCTCAGAAAACAGGCTCCAAACGGCCCCCGAGATGCTCCTCAGACGACTCAAACCTGCGCTCCTAGAGGGCCCCCGAGACTGCCAGCGGGCGCCCTCGATGTCCCCCAAAGCCTCCCCCCCCTAGAAGCCCAAGAGAGGCTTCAAAGCGGCCCCCGAAATGCCCCTCAGACGCCTCAAAGCCTGCCTCCATGAGGCCCCCATGGAGGCATCCGAAAATAATTCTGGAGGGAGCCCAGCCGCGGCGGCGGGAAGCCTCCGGCGGAGGCCCCGGAGCCGGCCCGCTCGGGAAGATCCCGGCGCCCCCCGCAGGGATCTCCACGGGGCCCAGCGCCGTTGGCACACACCTCGTGGGCCCAGCGGCTGCTGAGAGGCGCCCGAACGCACGCCGAGGAGCACATGGAGCCCCACCCTGTTGAGGGGGGAGAGAGCGACGACAACCACGACGACGACGAGGGCGCCATGCTGGGACGACGACGCCGACGACGCGGACGCCGACGCGGACGCCGACGCGGACGCCGACGACGGCAAAGATGCCGAAGACGCCGAGGACGCCGACAACGCGTCCCTTCGCTCAGAAACTGACCTCCAGACCTGCCCTGGGGCGCATGTCGGCCACGACTTCGCAAAGGATCCAGCTGTGGCGACGCGAGGCCTCCGTGATGCCCCGAGCAAAGCCGACTGCATCTAACAACTTCCTATCAACGACGACGACGACGACGACGACCTCGACGACGACGACGACGAGGATCAACACGACGCGGCCGACGCCGCCGCGGCCGACGCCGCCGAAAACGGCTGCAAACCTTTCGTGGAACACGTGAGGAAGAGGAAAATGAGGAGAAGAAGGAAAAGGGAGTAGGAAGAGGAGGATGAGGAAGAGGAGGAGGAGGAGGAGAAGGAGGAGGAAGAAGCCTCTTTGAAGCCTCGCGGGGCACCCTTGGGGTCTCCTGAGAACTCCCGAGGGGCCTCTTGGAGGCCTCTTGGAGGGCCTTCTTGGGCGTCTTGGCGGCGCGAAGCCTCCCCGAGGCGCCGTCGTCGGTGCCGACGACGACGACGACGACGACGACGACGACGACGACGACGACGACGACGACGACGACGACGACGACGGCGAGCGCGCCGAGGGGGCGCGCCTCGGCGACCAGCCCCGCCGCCTCGTGCTCGCCCGCCCCCGGAGCCGCCGCCTCGCCGCGCGGCGCCTGCCAGCGGCCGAGGGCGCCGCCAGCGCGGACGCCGCGGCCGTCGCGGGCGTCGGCGACGGCATCGCCGTCACAGCAGGGGCCGACCGTCCCGGCATGCCCACAGGCCTGCCACGAAAGTGTTTCTGCAGCCCAGGAAGTCCGAAAACAATAAAACAAAAGCAGTACTCTTAGAACACAGACCCGATTTGTTGAAACAGAACAATCTCGGCCAGAAATGTTCCAAGAACGTGTCGTGCAGACCACAGAAGGTTCTTAGAACATTTATTAGTGGGCCGAAAGGCAAGCCGGGGCGCTTCGCCACTGCTTGACACCATGGACGCCGCGGCCGTCTCCAGCGTCGGCGACGGCGTCGTCGTCGTCTGTACGGCAGGTTCGCGCGGCGTCGGTGCGCGCAAAGGTTTTCGACACCGCGTCGATCGTTCAATCTTGAGCGGATCGCGGCCTAGATCGTGTAAGGGTGAATTCCGCTGGGTACAACGGCGTTACCATGTCCCTCGGTGCTTCCGCGTCGCAGAATTCAACCTTGAACGCCTTCGCTGGCGTCGCTGGCGTGCCCTCGCCGCGCGACCCTAAACGTACGTTTGTCTTCCTGGTTCGCAGAACTGCGGCGCCTGAACCTTCGCTTGGGCTTAGATCGGGGACGCGTCGGCCATCGCCGCCTTCTCCCCTGTCAGCGGCCCCAACAATGATGGGACAGAAGGTACCCAGACATCCAGCTGCTCCAATTTTGTCGATGCGGGCCCCAAAGGTCTGGGCCACTTCACTAGGGCAAATGTTTCGCTCGAAAGTGCTTTTTAACGCTCCCGAGGCCTGGCGAGGGCCCCCGGAGGCCGAAAACGGCCCCAAACAAGCCGCATCTTTTTTTTCGGAGCGTCGGATTTCTGGGTGCCGAAATGCATCCACAGGTTCAGCACGGCATGGGGGTGCACACCGGGTAAGTGTCTGGCGGCTGCTCGGGGGGGCCTGTGCCCGTGGGAGGCCGTAGCGCCGCTCAACGATGTGGTGTGCTGCGTACCAAACCTCGCCCAGGGGGCCCTTTCCCGAGTCGGGGCTCTGGTGCGGATCGCAGGGGGGTCGGCGTCGTCGGCGACGGTCGCCATGCGTGTTGCTCTGCTTGGGACTCGTTTGCCATTTGCAGTGACTACCGCCACCCTCTCCGCCTTTTCCTTCTCCTCCTCCTCCACCACCTCCTCCTGTTTTTCGTTCTCCTCCTCCTCCTCCTCCTCCTCCTCTTCCTCCTCCTCCTGCTCCTCCTGCTCCTCCTCCTCCTCTTCCTGCTCCTGCTCCTGCTGTTCCTTTTCCTCCTCCTCCTCCTCCTCCTCCTCCTCCTCCTCCTCCGCCTCCTCTCTCCTGCTCCCCTTGTCCTCCCTCTCGGAGACGGGGGCACGGGGGGTGGGGTGGGGTGGGGGGGGGGGGGCCGAAGAGGGATTATGATTTGCAGCTGCGCTACCCTCGATCACCATGAAGAACGCGGGGAAGAGAAAATACGACACGTGCTGGACGAAAAATACGTTTGACGGACGCAACGACCCGCCAATCATACCTCGAGCAAACCACTTCAATGCACGTTGAACGAAGATCACTGTCACTTGCGTTCGGAGCTCATGGCTGACGGCTTGATGGAAAAGGAAAGCAACCGTTCCTTTTTTCCGTGCGGAGCCGCCTCCCGAAGAGACATGGGCGCCTGCTGCACTAGTCAGAGCATCCCTGCGCGCTTCGAGGATCCCGAAGACCCCCTGCGCAATGTTCTAGGACGCCGAGCGCGGCGAAACGTCGAACTTGAAGCCATGCGACAAGTGTTCGGGAAACGACCCGTTGGCCAAGCCACCTCGTCCACGATGTCAGCAACGACGGACTTCGCATCGTCCGCGTCCTCGGGGACATCCGCCGGCAGCGCCCAGGTGCCAGGGGCGCCCGTGCGCCGGCCCGCGGGGCCGGGCCCCCCGCGGCCAAACTCCTAAGCACCCAGGGCGAGGCTATGTCCAAGGAGACGTCGTACAACAACGATGCCCAGGACGGGGGGGGCGCAACCGCACAGCTGGCCCGTGCCATAAGGATGCGCGATAAGGATGCAAGGGCCCTGACAGGCCGTCTCGAAGCTTCTCAACTGGGGCGCGGTCAACGAAAGTGGACAGGGATGGGCCGAAGAGGCAAGTATGCAAGGGCACCCTTGGGGAAGGTTGCCCAGGCTGCCCATCCTTACTATGCGGGTTGACTGTACGTGGAACTGGTTCGTGAACTCCTCGTCGCCGCCACCCTCTCCGTTCACTCACGTCGCAGCGCGCGAACGCCGCGGCGCCCGCCGGGGGGCCAGTGGCGCCGCGGCCCACGTCCCCCCGCCGCGCACGAAGGCGAGGCCAGTCTGGGCATGGCGGAGCGCGGCGACGTCGACGCCCACAGCATCGGCGTGGACGGCCACGTCCATCCCCAACCTCTCCAGCCATGCGGGCGGCTCTGCGCTCGGCATCGCCGGCAGTGCTGGGAGGAGCGCCCGAAGCCGTCGCGCTGCCTCCGCGTCGCCGACGACCACTTCCAACGCCGCCTCCGCCACCGCCATTTGCCCGTTGAGGCGGCCCGCCTCGGCGCACAACTTGAGAGCTGCCCTGTCCGCCGAAGCGCGCGCCTAATCGCGGAGCGCCAAGCGATCGGAATTGGCGCGGCAACTGTCTCGGCGGAGAAAGGCCCGGCGCGCGTCGCCCGCGCCCTCCCGCGCCGCCGTCTCGAGCGCGACGCGACGAACGGCCCCCGCAGCTGCGTGCATTTGGGGGGGGGGGGGGGGGGCGCGCCGAGCCACCTCGAGCAGCGGGGCCGCCGCTCGCCTTTGAGCGGCCCGGGCCAAAATGTCTGCTGCGGGACCGCGGGGGAAGGGGGGCCCGCGCCGTCAAGGGCACCCCCGATCCGCGCGCCCACGCAGCGCCGCCATTGCCGCCCGCGGCCAGCGCGGGACCCGCATCCGCACCCGCGCCGTAGACGATGCGGGGCATGGCGGTGGAATCGCCGATGTCAATACCGAAGCAGTTTCTCGAACCATCAATGACTGCGACGGCGAGGCCGCCAGAAGAGCCAGCGGCAGACATGGCGTCCGCATCATCTCCCATCGGGTCCGCAACCGACACATGGACGCCAGGAAGATGCGTCGGATCGAGAAAACAGATGGCGGATAATGAGCGGCCACCGCAGCGGAAAGGGCTGCCCTCGATATCCGATGGACTCAAAGGTAGACGACTCGCGTGGGAGATCAGCTGTCCCCGCGTGTTCCAGGACTCCCAAGCGCATGCATGTCACTCATGTCTGCCAAAGACGTTGCCTCACTGGCAGTGCGAACAAACTCCAGAGCCCGTGCATGTCCAGTCTGCGCCAGCGCGGAGTCATCGCTGGCGTCGGCGAACACCGCCCGCGTCACCATCATGCCAGCGGCGTCTTCCTCGGCAGAAGGCTGAGGCTCAGCGCCAGACAAATCGACATGCAGGGCCAGCCGAATTCCAGTGCCCATCTCGCCCAGAGGAGCCGTCATACCATTGCCCTGCGTCAAGATCCGGGGCGCGCTCGCAGCAGCGACGCGGGCTGGGGCGCCGCGCGAAGAGGCACCTGGATCAAGCCGCCCAAGCACAAGGCATAATAAACATCCAGCCCAGCAGATGCCGAAGCGTCATCACACCGAAATGCTCGACTTATCGCGCGCGAGCGCGTCGGTCCCCTTTTCTCCCCTCGGCGTGATCATGTGGCGCAGGGCGCGCGTCGAGGTGCGCGGCAGGGACTGGCGCCTTAAGTAGAGGAGGTAACTGCCGGGTGGGAGACTCGATGGGGCCATGTTCGACAGCGGCCAGAACATAAACCGAAACCATGAGAGGCAGCGCCAGGGGCTCTCAGACAGTGAACCATGAGACTGAAAACCGAAACCATGAGAGGCAGTCTGGGGTCGACGGACTACCACAGCCCGTGTCAACCATGTCCAAATCCGCAACCACATTTACAGGGGGTGGGAGGCGCCGGATCGTTGGAGCGGCCTGCCTGACATGGCGAAGCAGCTGCGAACGCGCTATCCGCGCCCGCGCTCTCAGGGTTGTTGAACTGGTCGCCGAACTCACCATTTGACACGGCATCGTCTTCGAACTGGGCAGGGGGAGGGGGTCCTTCAGCAACGCCACCCATGAATTCTGCCATTGCCTCCAGGCCCGCTTCAGCAGGAGATGGCACCCGAGGCGCGCCCGGGCCACGAAGACACTGCGGGGGCGAGAAGAGCGGAGAGCGAGGAGGCGAGTCGCGCGACGACGGGGTGGGGCTGAGGTCATTCGGGTCGACGTCCAATCGGCATCTGTGCCATCGCTGCTCGCAACCTGGAAATCGCGTCGGCAGGGCAAGCCCGCAGCCAATCTGATGGAGAAATCTCGCTAAGGTCGACTGGCGCCCTCGAGGGGCCTGAGGCCCATTGGGGCGTCGCCACGTGCCCCAATTCGTTCTGCCTAGCAGAGCGGATCACAGCTGGGCCACTGCCAGGAAGGTCGGGCTCGCGATGACGTCGCGCATGCCCTCGGGCAATGCCTGAAGAGTGCCGCGAGGCCAGGCGCATCTCTTCAATCGCGCGTCTTTGTCTGTCATCGCCCTCCCTCGTAGCGTCTCCCACAGGTGGAGTGGGCTGATGATAATGGAGGGCGCCGAACACATCATCAACTTACAATTCGAGCCAAGCGTAGAAGTCGCCGGCCTGGGCCACATTACAGATGGAGGATGCCCAGGGCGAAGCCCATGCTGCTGCGCGGTCGGCGAGTGCGCGGCCTTTTTTTCTCTCAGCCCTTGGGTCGTCCTCGATTGCGTCGCAGGCTTCGGGAACCAGCGATTTGGCGTGGGCGCTGGTGCTCCGCGGGCTAGTCGCACGGGCGGTCGTTGTCGGCGTCGCTGCCGAAGCCGCGGGGGCATCGGCGCCGCCGGCGAAGTTTGGGGAGGGGGCTGGGGCTCCGGAGCCCTGGGCGAACGCGCCTCGAAGACGCTGGCAGCGG